CTCTTCCCCTTAAGAGGGGCAAAGGGGGGGGGGTCCGGACCCCCCCCCCCCCCCCCCCCCCCCCCTGAAGGGGGGAAAGGGGGGGGATTCTGGTCCCACCCCCCCACCTTTAGTGTATTCAGGGAGATCCACTGGCGCACTTTCGCAGTTTGATCCGCCTCGCGCGCGTTGGCAAGGTCGAGCGCGCAGCGACTCCAGGGGGCGCCCCCAATGCGCGACGAACTTGCCTAGAACATGTGGAGGCGAATGTTTCGACGTTGCTGGGGGGAGTGCTTCGAGCCGGCAGAGGGCGCGGATATCAAGAGAACTGATCAGTACGTGAGCGTAGATGCTTCATTCCGAAACTAATGTCATACGGCAGAATAGTCCATCATAACATGTCATGGCTATGGGGCTGTGGGACTATAGGGCTATGGTGTTGTAAAGCACTGGGGCTATAGGGCTATGTGGTTATAAGGCTTTTAGGGATATAGGGCCCTAGAGCTATAGAATCATAATGCTATGGGACTATGAGGTGCCCGGGCACCTGGGTGCCAAGGCACCTGGGCGCCCGGGCATCCGCGCGCCCAGGCATCCGGCCGCCCGGGCGCCCAGGCACCCGGGCATCCGCGCCCAGGCACCCGGGGCACCCGGGCGCCTGGGCGCGCGGGCGCGCCGCCGAAATTGGTGCCACACTTCGCCTGGCCATGTGAATCCGCTAGGACCCCATACAGAGGCAAGCTCTGATTGGGGAACGTAAACATATCACCAGCAGATCGCGAATCATACTTTTTCGTTTTGGCCCCTGCAGGAACGCGGCGAGAGCTTCGAAAAGGATGTCGATGGCGCCGACCAGTTCGATGATGCCATGAACGACGGCGCCGACACTGGCGGAAAATGCCCTGCCCTCGTCGACTCGGGCGCGAGCGATGCTTCGATCGAGACTCCCCATCGGATGCCGATTGGGGCGATGACATGGGAGCAGAACGAAGACGTGGGAGAGCTGGGCGAGGGTGGACAACTGGAGTTGGAGGAGGAATTCGCGGGACAATTCGTTCATTAATCGGCACTTCATCGGGCGCCCGCCCGCCTGGCGACTCGACTTGCGACGATGGCGAAGGCGCGGCAAGTCAAGCTGGATACCCATCGCCGCGCTGCGTTCCTCTCCCCGGAGAAGCGCCCCACAGCGACAGCGGCGGCGACGCAGATCAACGGGGCGGATCGCCTCTCGCCGAGAAGCCCGCCGCGGGCGGCGGCCGCGCGCCGCCGAGGCGCGCCGCGAAGCGGCGCGCGCTCGCGAAGCCCGAGGGGGGCAAACTGTCTTAGCGCGCAAATCCAAGTCGGCTAGGGCCCCCTAACGAGTGCTCGCAAGCATGGCGCCTGCTGACCGGTGCCGATTCGGCGCCAAATTTGGCCTGCTGCCGAAGTTGGAAGGCACCGGACACGAGGCGTGCGGCGCCAAGCTCGCGCTGAGGAGCGTTGACGACGCAGGAGCACCTGGCGTCGCGCTGGGCGGTTTCTGTGACATCCCGCCCGTTCATAGCCTGTGCAGATACTTCTGCAAGGACTGGAACTGCGCGGGCATGAGTGGCGCGACAAAAACTTCGACTGATGACGCGGTGATCCACCTCTGCGGTGACGGGCGGGCGCCCGCGGGCGAGGACATTCGGATGGCGTGCCTTGCGTGCCAGCCGTTCGTTCGTCCAGAAGTACATCAGCGCTGATGATTCTGCGCTCTTTCCAGGAATCGGCCGCTCCCCAGCACAAATTTACTTGCGCCAGGTGACCAGGGGGGAACCATTATGTACCTACTCCGATCCTGGCCAAACCAATCGTTGGCTCTGGATTGCACCTTCCTGGCTAAGCAGGAAAGGCTGACTATAGAGGAGCAGAACAAAGCCAAGTTCCCCAGGGCATGATGGCTGAAATCGGCGAAACAGCGGTGAGAGCAGTGAGGATCAAGTGCTCGCCTGCGCTGGAATGGGTCAGAATGATCCGCTGAAGCGACAGAAAGAAACTCCATGGTCGTGTTCCAACGTACCTCTGCTACGTCCGCGACTGGTGGCGGCAGCGTCCTTTTGAACCAGCAAGAATGCGACTACATCGTTCCGAAATACTTCCAGCAGGGGGCGTGACGGGATCGTTCAGTGCGGAGCGCTCGCGGCTAGCGACGTCAAGTGTTCCCCCGCGTGTTCACGCAAAGGCTGCCTGGACTGCGCGGGAGCGTTGGGGAAGGACGCGTGCAACGGCTGGTGCCCACGCGCGGGTCGAGATAACGTCTGCAGATTTATTGGCGGAAAATGTTCGTGCTGGTGCGTTGTGAATTCGGTTCGCGTGCAGTCGGCAAACGGCGCGAGCCGCGTGGTGAACCTGAAGTACGGCACTGGGTGCGTGGACGGATGCTGGTCTGAGATAAAACAGTCCATCCCCCAGTCCCTAAAGAGCGCCGAGCACGAACATATAGTTCTCTACATCATTTCGTGGACGTGGCGCACACGGAACCAGGGCGATGACCTCTTGCGGACCTTCGCCCGCAGCGTGACGTAGACGACGGTAATCGCTGAGATGTTTTCAACTGCGGATCGAACGCACACGCGCTTCTGTAACATCGGAAACCGCATCATCGGCTGCCAATATACTTGATCATATGCCATTAGCTTCATTCACGCCACAGCGTCAGAATTCGTCGATTGTATCATACCCCTTACTATCGCACAACGCGCAAAACAAACCCCACCCTCATCCAACCTCCCGCCCGCCCGAACCGCTCGTGAGGGCCGACCAAAGCCGCTCGCCCGCTCGTTCGCAATCCCGCCCCCCCGCTTCAAGGTCCCGCCCGCCCGACCGACCCGCTCGTTAATAAGCGCCCGCCCGCCCCATCCGCTACAATAGGAGCTCGACCACAAGAAACCTTCCACAAAAAACCCAGGACGTCCATTGAGTTTTGGTGGGGGTGCCACACCTTCCACAGCAAAACCATCGAAACCCTAGAAACCCAGGGCACCCTGGAGGCAAGCACGGTGTTTCTTGGTATGGTTTTCCACTGCAAGGTCCGCCCGCCCGACCCGCCCGTTACACTCCGACTGCTGCAAGCCGCTCGTCGGCGAGGCGGTCCGCTGGCGAAGCAGCCTCGCGCGCCCGCTCTGGCCCCCCAGGAGACGCTCGATCTGCTGTTTTCGCTTCACGCCACATCTGCTGCTTCTGGCGGCGCTCGCGCTCCCAACTGTACAGTCGGCCCGTATCATAAGGATGCGCGATGACGATTCAAGGGCCTTGGACGCCCATTTCGAAGCTTTTCGAGCGGGGTGCGGCCAACGAAAGTGGCTAGGGATCGGCCGACGAGGCAAGGATGCAAGGGTACCCTTGGGAAAACTGCCCATCCTGACAAAGCGGGTTGACTGTACTGCCAGGGCCCGTCGTGAGGACGGAGGCGATAGGACAGTACCCTCTCGGCAGACACGGGACTGGCACTCAAGCCGCAAGATGTCATTGAGAATGACACGAGCAATCCTATCGTCAAACCTGACCTTTTGCTTTTAGCTCGCGCGCGTGCTGTTCGCATCACGAGCCAATCGAAAAGAGATCGTAAATCAGTTCAGCAACCCCGATCGAGATCATTGTCAAGCCTGACTATCGTAATCCAAGCGGAACGCAAACGAAGATCTGAATGGGACTGCGGAACGCTTCTGTCTGGTCACTCCTCGGGGATCGTGGCGCTGTGCAGCACACCTTTGGTGTCGTGAAACGCTGGCCCGCCTGCAGGCAGGCCCCACCCAAACCGATGAGACGCAACTGGAGATCGGTTTTCGGCGGTGGACAAACCTCCCTTTAGTAAACCTCCCCTGAATGAAAACGGCCTGGGACCGAAACCGATGGACCTGGACCCGCAGAAATGGCGGCCGCGACGCCCCCTCGCAACCGAAAACGGCCAGTTCCTCACTCGACGTGTCAGGGTAGGAGGTGTCCACCTCCGAACGATGGAGACATCGAGCGGCATTGCCCGGCCGCGCCTCCGGGAGCGCGCCACTGTACGAACACACCCTGCCGGTGTCGTGAGGCTCTGGCCTGCAGGCCAGCCCTGGCCGGACTGGGAGCCCGGAGGAGGGAGGAGGACCTCCTACACCTCCCCACCTCCTCTGCCCTTCTCCTTCGCCTGTCTCTCTTCAATCCTTCCTCTCTCCCCCCTCCACCCTCCTTGGAACACCATAGGGATGTTGGCGAAGTCACGGCACCGACAAGAAGATCATTGCAAAATCCCGGATCGTAAAATCGACCTGGACTCCATCGGGGGCACTATTGGTAACCAATAGAACAATCATTCGGGAGACCGTCGGGACACGATCGAAATACCAATAAGACCCCCCGCCGAAAGCACCACGTCCGAAACAGCCATGGGAACATGTAGAAGAAAGCAAAACAACATTGTCAATAAACAAATACAACTAGAACCACGCGCGCGCTTCGCGCGCGCTTAGGTTCTAGCTAGGATCGTCACCGTCGTCATCATGAACATCCCAAGCTCCCGTCTCTTTCTCAGCCAGACAACCTCGAGGTCTAAGAAGTCGAGCCTCCGCGAGCACCAGAACGATTGAGGCGGCCCTCCATGAGGCCGCGACCGAAACACGTCAAGCACCTGCTGCGTGAAACCAGACACAAGCTGAAAACTCTAAATCAGGGGTGGAGGACGGGGGAAGGGAGGTGAAGCTTGAGCCACCGCAGTTGCGGCGAACGCATGTTGAAACACGATTGCTTGATCGACTACTGTTTAAACACTGTTCGGGGTCGACTGGGGGTCGAGCGGCTGACATCCGACGAGGCGCACAGGATTCACGTACAAGTACAAACCATCCCAAGCTCCCGTCTCTTTCTCAGCCAGACAACCTCGAGGTCTAAGAAGTCGAGCCTCCGCGAGCACCAGAACGATTGAGGCGGCCCTCCATGAGGCCGCGACCGAAACACGTCAAGCACCTGCAAAAACTGTTGACTCCAAAACAGCAGACTGGCCAGAGCCGCATAACCTTTTACTGCATAAAGCGCCCAAAGGACTCCCCGATACATTTGGCCCAAGTATTGTAATAAGCGTCCGCGATAGCTTTACACAACTTCTTAGGGTAGGGTTCAGCAAGCTTGGTGTAGAAATTGCCGGTCTGATCTTTGCCTTGGAGCTGCTGATGGGGAAGACCGGTACGCTTGCAAATGCCTCTCTTACTCCCAACACATCTGGCCGCCTCAAGCTCGGCCAGGTCAAGATCGTAGCACAAGAAGGTGGCACTCTTCTTCCAGGGCACCCCCCATTGACAAAAATCGGTGGTGACGACAGCGATGCCCTGAGCACGGGCGAGACGTCGCATAGCAGGGCAAATCCAGAGGCGGCTTCTGGCGGGGTTCTCCAATGAGCACGGTACCTGAACTTGCCTGCATTCACGGATAAGGGAAGCGGAAAACAGCATCAGCATGTTACCAATCGCCACCTTCTCCTGATCGGCCTGGGACAGCCCCCCAAGGCCCATAGGTTCCGAATCGCTTCGGAGCCTGGGGGGGCCTGGGGGGATGTCTCGGGCCCGGCTGAAGGACGAGCACGGCGTGGCCACATGGGCGCCGGCCACCAGCCCGGCCCTCACCCACCCGAGGAGAAGGAGGCGATTGCGCTTGCACCTAAGGTCGTACGACTCGCCGAGGCTAATGTCCCACAGCAGGGCGGTGACACCTACCCTCGAGATCGCTTCCGAGAGGTGGCCGCTGCCCGAGAAGACTTCGACGAAGACACGCTGCCGGAGGCGAATGGTACAGGACAACGCCGGCCAGACACCACCTCGCTCAGCAGCTCGACGCAGAGTTTGCCGTGGGCCTGGAGCACCGGCCCGAGCTTGTGAACGACTTGACCCAACCTGCTCCCCTTCTCGTAGCGTCGGACCGAGGACCACGAACGCCAGCGCCCGCGTCGGCGCACGTCCTCCAAGCGGCGGCAGCCCGAGGCGTAGTCGTGCGAGGCGCCGCCGTGCCGCAGCATGTACATGTGGGCGGCGCCCAGCGCGGTGTCCACCCCCAGCGTTTCGACGGCCCCCTTGAAGTCCCTCGTCACCTCGTCGAGCGTCACGGTGAACAGCGGCGCCGCCAGGTGCAGGCCGGGGCCGACGTGCCTCTGCTCTGCGCGCCGCCAGTCCGCGCCCAGCTGGTGCTTCAGCATCAGGTCGAGCGCGGGCCCGATGAAGGACTGCCGGCTGAGATCCAGAGATAGGCTCTCGTCGAACTCGCCGGTCTTGGACTCCCTCTCGGTCTCGGCGGCATGGAGAGTCACGCACCAGTGGGACGCTCCGCTGACCCTCGCCACGGGCGGGACGAGGTCCACCGCCCTGATGTGGAAAGCCTCTCCGGGCCTCAGGTACAGCTCGAAGATGAGAAGGACGGCCAGCGCACTCTGGTAGCGCTGTCGGCCCAGGAGCTCCATCACCACCATCGCCACTACCATGTAGGGCATCGGCAATCGAGATCGGGGTGGTGCGAGCTTGCGAAAGCCCTGGAGGGCGCGGCGCGACCGAGGCATCAGCGCGCCCGACGCCTTGTTCAGGCCGGCGAAGAAAGTCACCGCCGCATACGCCCAGGACCCTGCGCTCAGGTCCTCGCCGCCCAGGTAGAGGTCGTCCAGCCACTCCGCGATCGCCTGGTCCACAAGGTCCTCGGTCGTCAGCCGACGGCCGTTTGCCCACACCAGGAAGTCGGCGAAGATCTCCTGGTAGCGGTCCCGCGTCCTCGGCTTGATGGGCGCCGCCTCCAGCACCGTCATGCCCGGCAGCCGCGCTGCTGTGGACCGCCGAGCCGCAGCCCGCGAGGCTCGCTGGCTCACCTTGCGGCGCCTGGGCCCAACCGAGCCCGGGGGGGCTGCCGAGGCGGCCGGCCGCCGTCGCACGAGACGCTGCTGGCGCACCGCCGGCGCTCGGAGACATGCTGGCGACGTAGGCCGGCTCGAGGTCGGCGCCGACGGCATGCGCGGCGGCCCGCCCAGCGCCAGCGGGGCGGCCACATCCGCCTGGGGTCCGCGAGCCAGTAGTCCCGTCGGCAGCACCTGCACCAGCGCCCCCGCGCTGGCGGGCACTGGGGCCGCGCGCGCGAGCATCGCGCGGGGCGAGCGCCGAGGGCGCTGCGGGTCGCCAACGTCCCCTTGAGGGACCGTCGGCTGAGTTCCACTCGGAGGGGGGCCAGCGGTAGTGGAGAGAGGAGCCTGTCGCCAGGGAGAGGGCGGCGATGCTCTGCGTCACGTACAGCATCGCACGGCTCCCACTGCGGCTCTTAGACACCGCCCCCGCCACACTCATCGAATCTCCCAAAACAACGAGACGTTTACCATGATTCCGACGACTACGCAGAAGATGCCTGTAGCCGTACAGGGTAGCGCGGGCCTCCAGGACCGGGATGCTCTCGCACTTCTTCCGCCACTCGAAACGGCCCACCACCCTCCAATCCTGCTCAATCATTTCCCTGGGAACTTCAGGAAAATCATCGGCTCGGGGTAGACGCCCAAACCCGTAGATGTCCCCGGGGGCCCCAGCATCAAGATCACTGCGAGCAGGTTCCTGGGTGTCGTCGGGGCCGCACATCCAAGGGGCGGCCTCCTCGGCGGACCCTTCAAGGGCCGCCGCCGCGGCAGCATCCCGAGCCCAGCGCCCAGCGTGGCGACGAGGACCCCCGAAAGCGCCCCCGCGACCCCAGCGCCACCTCTCGGATGTGCGGCCGACCTGGGAACAGAGCGAGGATCCGCAGCGGCTCGAGCAGGCCCCGAGGCCCCACTCGCTGGCATCAACTGCGACAACCTCGCCCCCCCAAGCGGCCCGAAGATCGCGATAAAGGAGTGGAGAGATAGAGTCCCAGATGCTGAGCTCACGCCGAACAGAGGCCCACAAGGCAACGTCGCTGTCGTAATGCTTGTGAATAAATCCATAACAACTCCAGAACAAACTGAGGCCCTCCCGCCGAACCAAGGAGATGAAAACCAGGTGCCCGAGAAGCTTTTCAACATCTCGACCTTTGGCCCGACCGCGAGCGAGAAGAGCACGAATAGCAAGCCGAGCGCGCCACAGACGATCCGGGGAAGCAACGAGTCGCCCACTCCCACGATCGATGACCCAACCCAGCAACTTGGCAGTAGTACCCTCCTCCCCACCATGATCCCCCTCATGAACGACGAGTCCCCGACATTCCAGAGCGGTGATGGCAGACGACACCGAATTTTTCACGTTGTCCCGGTTGGTCGAGATCGCAATGTAGTTGTCCACATACTGCGTGTGGCACGGCTGGCTGAGGTCTGGAGCGCACGTCTTGTCGGTGATCCTAAACTTGGGGTCCGAGCCAGCTGCCTCGACTATCCTCTCGTGTATCTTTTGGCACATCCATAAAGCCCAAGACCATCCCATGGGAATGACAGCGAGCCTAGGGTATACCTTCTCATGTGCAGCCACAGCTCGACCCCCAATCTCCGCGCACCCTACAGACGCAGCCCGCGCGGGCCGAAAAGTGAAATACTTTCCAAGGGGGCTGGGGAGCCCCATGTGGTAAAACGCATCACTCAAATCCGCACCACCAACGAAGATATCTTCGTCGGCTCCCAGCTCGATGGCGGAAAGCCCTTCACCAGTGCAGAGCGAGACACCACCGGCCTCAGTGAAATGACAGTTTGAACGCCTGCAGTCTACGACAAGCCTGAGCTTGCCATTCTTTTTGGTCACAAAAAACGGCTCCACTCGCTCGCCATCCTCGAGCGAGAAATCAAGCATTCCGCGTGCGGCCAACGCCGACATGAATTCCTCAAAGGCTCGAGGGTGTCTGAGCTTGGGATCGGAGTAGGGAGTGACCACACCTGACGAGCGGAGTCGGGCTCGCGACTGTTCCGGCGGAGCGACATTCAAGCGGCAGAAGTCCTCTACCATTTGGCACCCGCCGTCGCCCCAAAGCTCAGACACAGGCACAGGCCTGACGTCGCCTGAAGGCAGTGAGACGTCGGCGAGAGAGTAGCGACCGAGCGTAGTACTGTCCACGTCGTACCAGCTCGCCACGCGAAGCTTCCTGAGAGCTTCAGCGGGGGAGGCCCCCACAGGTGGAGGGCCAAGGTCGCGCGCGGCGCGTCGGGCACGATCCAGCACGCCGGCCTGACCGGCAGAAAAAAGATGATAGGATCCGCGCGCGGCGCCTCGCTCGGGCCCCTTGCCCGGGGAGGCGCGGTCGCGGGGCTGCGGCTGATGAGTGTAAAGCGAGTTAAGGCCCCAGAGCGCACGGTCAACTTCGCGCTCCTCGGCCTGGCGCCTACGCAACCTCTGCCGCGCGCCACGAGACATCTCATTAGCCCGCGCGCGGTCGACCCTGAAAACCTCAGGACGAGGAAGAGGGGGCAACTCACGCGGCACTTGACGGCTCGGGTCATGCAACCAGTCTTCCCAAGAAGAGAGAGGGGGAGGCGAAGGAGGCAAGGAGGGGGGGACTAATTGACAAGCTTCGCTCGTGTGCCCTGGGGCCTGGCTCACAGGATCACTCGAAGGTCGGGATAGCACGGGCACGCCTGCATCAGGCGGGCCACGCGGAGCCGAGGGTCCCGCCATGCCCTCAGCCCGCGCAACCGGATGTGGCCTCGACAAGAGGCGCTCACCCGGCATCCTTCTTGGTCTTATCCTTGGCCCGGGCAGCCTCTCGCTCCTCTCGGGCCTTGCGCAAATTCTTGGCAAGCGAGGCATCGCGCTCGACCTCGCCCCGCACGTAATCCAGAATAAGAGGGCAGATCATCAGGGAGCCACCTGCGCGGGCCGTGCCCGCAAAGGCCATCTGCTCCTCGAGGCTGAGCTTCCCTCCGTAGCCCTTGGCCTCCTGCTCGCGAGCCCGCTCGGAGTGCGCGAACTCGATCGTTTGAAGTCGGCGAAACATGGACTCCACCATCATCAGATTGGTGCCGTCCATCTGGTCGTGAAGGAGGCCGAACTTCAAGGCCTGCGTGATATTGTAATGCTCGGGCACGCCCCAACTCGAAAACTCAAACTTACAAAGAATGCGGAACCTCTCGTGATGCCCGTCGAGACCGAGCCCCTCGTGGTTGATGAACTCCAGGCACCACAGCACGGACCTTGGCCCGGGCAAGTCCCAGTCGTTGCTGAACTCCTCCTGCACCACGGCCGCGACCATCTCCGCCCACGTGCGCTCGCGCCGCCCCTGGCGGTTGCGTCGCACCGCCATGATGCGAGCGTCGCCGAACACCCCCTTGTCGAGGAAAGCGACCTCAGTCGCTGCGGTCACCTCTTCGACGAACAGGGCGGTCCCGTCCGGCAAGAGATGGAAACCCTTCGAGCCGATCGCCTGGGCGCTCCGCACGTGGCCTGGGACAGGGTCTCCGAATCGGAAGCCGCCCCCGCTCTCAGCAGCCCTCCACGCTGTGCCGACGCCTGCGGCGGGGGCTGCCGGCGCGACGCCCTGCAAGGGCCCCACCAGCAGGGGCGGGGGCGCGGCCGCCGCTGCGAGGGCACCGGCGGCGCCGGCTGCGGCTGCAGGCACGGCCACTCCCGGCACAGGAGGTGCGCCCGGAGCGCCGGCGCCTGCAGGCACGATGGCCCCCGCTCCGCCGGCACCGCCCGCAAGCTGGCCCGCGGCGTCGATCGGCAACAGCCACACGAAGCCCGCCGGCGGCGCCGCGCCGCCCGCCGCTGCCAGCAGACGCCGACCCTCGGCCTCAGCCTCGTCCTCGGCCGCCTGCCGGAAGGCGGCGTCCCGCGCGGCCGTCGGCTCCCGTCGGAAGCGGTACACCCGATCCCTGGGCACACCCGCTGGCAGCTCTCGATACTCGCTGCACCAGCGCACCGCCAGCACGTCCTGTGAGGTCGGCGACCAATCCTCTGGGTAGACGTGTGCGTCGGCGGTGGCGGCCACGTAGGTCTTACCACCCGAGTGCGCCACCACCCCGTGCACCCGGCGCTGGTGCCAGAGCGGCTGGCCTTCCACGTTGTACAGGACGTAACTCCAACTCATCTTCGCTGACCGCGTCCTTCACGGGCCTGCAGCACAGCCGGCGCAACAGCCCGCCCACGGCAAGCCCTCCAGTCGCCAGGACGCCGCCCACCACGACGCCGAGGAGGAAGATCAGGTACGCGAGGTAGCCCAGCCCAGGCTCAGCGCAGCTCGCGGCCTCCTCGCGAGCACCAGCCGCCTCGGCGAAGGCGGCAGCCCCTGCCGGCACCGTGATCGGTCGGCAAGCTGGGCACGCCGGGCACGCCGGCACCACACAGTCCCCGCAGGTCAGCCCTGGGCAGGACGGACACGTCGCCTGCGGGCAGGCGGGGATGGCAGGGCAGCGCGCCGCGTAGTTCACGACGCCCTGGGCCAAATACTCGGGGCCCCTCTGCAGCAGCCAGTCCCACATGCGCAGCCCTCGGGACGGCGGCACGAGCCTTTGAAGCTTGAGCCACCGCAGTTGCGGCGAACGCATGTTGAAACACGATTGCTTGATCGACTACTGTTTAAACACTGTTCGGGGTCGACTGGGGGTCGAGCGGCTGACATCCGACGAGGCGCACAGGATTCACGTACAAGTACAAACCATCACCATCGCCATCATTCCCCCCGCCAGGGCTAATGTACATCGTTTCTGGATGCTTCTGGCCGGAATACGAAAGGAGTTTCTGTAGTTAGAGTCTCTGGGGGAAGTCGCGGGGCCCCTCAGGATACGTACGGATGCCTCTGATAATCCCCCAGCGTGCCCCACGAGATGGCCAGAGGGTGCCCGAAAAGGACCCGAGGACGTCGACGACGGCGGCGATGAAGACGGCGGCGATCGCGGCGACGAAGGTAATTAGCGGCGTTTGCCATGGGTTAGTACCCAATCAGAGCTTGCCTCTGTAAGGGTCCTGGCGGATTAAAAAGTTCGATGAGGTTCGGCAAGATTCCGGCCCCATGCGGCTGGGCCGGGTGCCCGGGTGCCCGGTGCCTGGGTGCCTGGGTGCCCGGTGCCCGGGTGCCGGGGTGCCTGGGGGTGCCCTATCGCCCTATAGCCCTGTAGCCCTATTGCCCTATAGCCGTATAGCCCTATAGGACTATAGCCCAATAGCCCTATATCCCTATATCCATCTAGCCCTTTAGCTCTATAGCCCTCTGATCCTATAGCCCTGTAGCCCTATAGCCCCATAGCTCTACAGCCCAACAACCCTATAGCCCAATAGCCGAATAGCCCACATAGCCCTATAGCCCTATGGCCCTAGCCCTATAGCCCTATAGCCCTACAGCCCTATAGCCCTGTAGCCCAATAGCCCTGTAGCCCAAGTCGTTTTCATCCTGAGTCGTTTTCTGACGGTCCCGGGAACCTGCGAGGGGCCCCGGAGGCCGAAAATTAACAAAAACCGCCGTCGTGATTTTTCCAAGACGTCGGAGGTCCAGGTCGTGCTTCCCGCCTCCCCAGACCTCCGACGTCGTAATTTTTGCGACCTCGGGCCCAGGAATCGATGGGGAAAACGCACATTGGAAGGAAAGAAATGATGGACCCATCATTTCGTACCTGTGCCTTGATCAGTGGGACGGGCTTCGCACCGCCGCACATCACAAGACACGCTCGAGCGGATGCAGCCGTGGCGACGTCGGGGACTGCAGAAGGTCGCAAGGACACAGAATGTGAAAGGAAGAGAGAGAAAGAGAGAAAGAGAGGGAGAGAGAGACAGACAGACAGAGAGCGAAGGAGAGAGAGAGAGAGAGAAAGAGAGATGGAGAGAGAGAGAGAGAGAAACAAAAAAAAGACAGAGAGAGAGAGAGAGGCAGAGAGAGGAAATGGAGAGGAGGCGAGCTTGAGTCAACGAAAGTCGCAGGGAAGGGGGCAGGGGGAAGAAGGCCAGAGAGCGCTGAAGGATACAAATACTGGAACCCTCTTGGGATTTTTTGGGGGGCCTCGTCCGGCCGCTCGCTGGGAGTTTGACGTAGCTTCTCGGGAGCCTCTGAACCTGTCGGGGGCCTCCTGGAAGCAGGTTCGAAGCATTTTGGGGGCCGATTTGGGGCTTCTCGGGGCCTCCTTTGGGCCTCTTGGGGGTCTCCTGGGGCCTCTTGAGGGGCCTCCTTGGGGCCTCCTGGCGGCCTCTTGGGGCGGAAGGCTCGAGCTTGCGGTTCGTGGTCCCCCTCTGGGCCCCCTCTTGGGCCCGTCTTGGGGCCCTCTTGGGCCATCTTGGGCGCCTCTTGGGCCGTCTTGGGGCCCTCTTGGGCTGTCCTGGGGCCCTCTTGGAAGCTTCTTGGGCCGTCTTGGGGCGGTCTTGGGCGCCTCTTGGGCCGTCCTGTAACGTCGGAAAGCCCAAAAGGCAACTTTGTTGAAAATGTACGTTTTACGAAGGGAATGGGCCAATTTTTGCGTCTAGGGGCCCTCTTGGGCGCATGTTGGAGGCTTCTTGGGGCGTCTTGGGGGCGTCCTTGGACGTCTGGAGGCCATCTTCAGCATCTTGGAGCCCTCTTGGAGGCCTCTTGGAAGTTTCTTGGGCCGTCTTGGGCGCTTCTTGGGCCGTCTTGTCTGACCGGGGAGGCCTCCGGCAAGCCCCGACGAGCCTCCGGGCCCCCCGGAGCCCACATTTGTGGTCGGGGTCCCGGCCCCGGGCCCCCGGACCCGGTGCGCCGTTATATGTATATCATCGGGCTACCACAAGGGACTCCAAATTCGCCGGCCGAGCGGGCCAGAAGCGTGCTCAAATCTCCGCTAGGGCCTCCGGGGTATCAGTTCTAGTTCGCGCGCGCAGGGCGGCCCCTACAGTTACAGGATTCCGATGACCCGCTCGGATTACCAACATGATCTGCGGGCCCCATAGGGAGGGGGCTCCCGCCTGAGACTTCCTCACAATTTACTCAACGATGATGAGGATGAGGATGATGAGTGGTGGTGAAGATGAGTGGTGAAGAGGATGATGATTGATTGTGAGTGGTGGTGGCGATGATGATGTTTGAATGAGGATGATGCCGATGCCGATGATGATGATGATGATGATGTTCGTGAGCGTGTGAGAGAGTGCGAGTGATGATGATGATGAGTATGTGAGTGACTAAGCATGTGAGAGAGCATCATCGATGATGCTGATGAGGTTGATGATGAGAGAGTGTGAGTGAGTGTGAGTGGGTGTGTGTGTGTTCCTGTTCCTGCGCGGGGTGTCCAGAGAAAACAAGAACCCCACTTTGGATGTGGGGAACAAGAACCCCACTTTGGATGTGGGGAAAAACAAATCATGGCTACATCAACATCACAACCACCACCATCATCATCAGCATCATCCTCATCATCGCAACTTGCATCATCATCGTCATCAACATCATCGTCGTCGTAGTCGTCGCCGTCATCGTCGTCGTCATCATCATCACCATCATCACCATCATCATCGTCGTCATCGCCGTCGTCTTCGTTATCGTCATCAGCGTCGTCATATTCGTAGTCATCGCCATCGTCCTCACAGGGCATATCGGAGCCCAGAGTTGCGAGGGTATCTAAATGAAAGTGGCCTGAACATCTGAGCTCAAGGCATATCGCAACCCAGAGTTGCCAAGATGTCTCGGGCGATAGCGCCCGGCCACCATGGGGCAGGGCACCGCCGAGATCCGAGGACGGAGGATGTCTCACGCGTAATTGACCTGAACACCTGAGCTCAGGGCATATCTGAGATCGGAGCCTCGAGGATGTCACAGGCGGAAGCGGCCAGACCACTAAGGGGCAGGGCATATCCGAGTCAACGTGGCGAGGATGTCTCAGGCGCCAGTGGCCTGAACACTTCACTTCAGGGCGTCTCGGAACCCAAAGTTGCGAGGATGTCTCAGGTGAAAGTGGCCGGGCCACCATGGGGCAGGGCACTTCCGAGGTCAGAGTTGCGAGGATAGCTCACGCGAAAGCGGCCTGAACGCCTCACCCCAGGGCGTGTCGGTACCCAGATTTGCGAAGATGTCTGAAACGAAAGTGCATGGGTCACCGTGGGGCAGGGCACCTCCGAGTTCAGAGTTTCGAGGATGTCTCGGATCAGGTCAGGGCGTCTCGGAACCCAGAGTTGTGAGGACGTCATCGTCGTCATCGTTCGTCGCCGTCATCGTCGTCGTCATCATCATCACCATCATCACCATCATCATCGTCGTCATCGCCGTCGTCTTCGTTATCGTCATCAGCGTCGTCGTCATATTCGTAGTCATCGCCATCGTCCTCACAGGGCATATCGGAGCCCAGAGTTGCGAGGGTATCTAAATGAAAGTGGCCTGAACATCTGAGCTCAAGGCATATCGCAACCCAGAGTTGCCAAGATGTCTCGGGCGATAGCGCCCGGCCACCATGGGGCAGGGCACCGCCGAGATCCGAGGACGGAGGATGTCTCACGCGTAATTGACCTGAACACCTGAGCTCAGGGCATATCTGAGATCGGAGCCTCGAGGATGTCACAGGCGGAAGCGGCCAGACCACTAAGGGGCAGGGCATATCCGAGTCAACGTGGCGAGGATGTCTCAGGCGCCAGTGGCCTGAACACTTCACTTCAGGGCGTCTCGGAACCCAAAGTTGCGAGGATGTCTCAAGTGAAAGTGGCCGGGCCACCATGGGGCAGGGCACTTCCGAGGTCAGAGTTGCGAGGATAGCTCACGCGAAAGCGGCCTGAACGCCTCACCCCAGGGCGTGTCGGTACCCAGATTTGCGAAGATGTCTGAAACGAAAGTGCATGGGTCACCGTGGGGCAGGGCACCTCCGAGTTCAGAGTTTCGAGGATGTCTCGGATCAGGTCAGGGCGTCTCGGAACCCAGAGTTGTGAGGACGTCATCGTCGTCATCGTTATCGTCATCAGCGTCGTCGTCGTCATGCTTGTAGTCATCGTCATTGTTCTCACAGGGCATATCGGAACCCAGAGTTACGAGGATGTCTAAAGTGAAAGTGGCCTGAACACCTGAGCTCAAGGCATCTCGCAACCCAGAGTTGCCAAGATGTCTCAGGCGAAAGTGCCCGGACACCATGGGGTAGGGCACCTCCGAGGTCAGAGTTCGAAGATGCCTTAGGCGGAAGCGGCCAGACCACTAAGTGGCAGGGCATATCCGAGGTCAACGTTGCGAGGATGTTTCAGGCGGCAGTGGCTTGAACACTTCACTTCAGGGCATTTCGGAACTCAAAGTTGCGAGGATGTCTCAGGCGAAAGTGGCCGGGCCACCATGGGGCACGGCACTTCCGAGATCAGAGTTGCGAGGATATCACAAGCGAAAGCTGCCTGAACACCTCACCCCAGGGCGTGTCGGAACCCAGAGTCCGAACACGAAAATTGAAAAAAGGGCATAGTTTCCTGCTTCAAAAGCACGAATGTAGATCGAACTGTGAAGCGTCCCAATGGATACGTGCCGGAGCACGACCCAGAGGAAGCGCACGGGAGTGCGTCCCAGTGGATACGTGCCAGAGCACGACCCAGAGGACGCGCACGGG